CCATCATACAGCATCACATCACACTACATCACATCACACTACATCACATCACACCACACCACATCTCACCACACCACACCACACCATATTACAGCACACCACACCACACCACACTCCATCTCATCACACTGCATCACATCATAAATGCATCGCATTACATCCCAACATGTTACATTACGCACAACAGCCGCTCTGATCACATTTCGTTTTTAAAAGCGAACCAGGGAAGCTAGTACGCAGCTAGCTGGCTGCTTACCAGGGAAAAAAATATAATTTATTTTTCGGGGTCTACTTTTCAAGCTCGCGTGCATGAAAATAGCACTCTAAAATTTGGTTTGCATTGAACTCTATGCAAATTTCCGGGGGCTCTTTTTGGCATTTCCGGGGCTCTTTTTGGCATTTCGGGGGCTAAATCGCCCTGAGCCCCCGTGTATTTTTTTCACTGCTGCTTACCTTGCTGCATAGACATAGAAGCAGTATATATGCACAGTGAGCAGCACCACAACATCACTGAGCATACTGATCTGAAAACTCAGGCCTCCCAAGCCGACCACTCCGACGCAGAACACGAGCGCTGGTAGGTTCGGCTTCAGTAACACGACAATGTAACCTGAAAAATAAACGCTAGCTTTAATCTTGAATGGTAGCCGGAAGTAAAATGCTCTGCTATCAAACTGATACTGGTATTTATGGAGATTGCTAATGTTTATCGAATGACAACTTATTTACCGTAATATTTTTATTAGCTTTAATCCTCAACAGTAGCTCCAGGTAAAATGCTCTGCTATTAAACTGTCACTAGTGTGTACGGAAATTTTTAATGCTTATCGAATGACAACTCATTTACCGTAAAATTTCTATTACGATTTTCACATATAACTTAAGGTTATGTATAATCTATTTGGATAGTGCATAATTACTAACTAACAGAAATTCCCTGCACACTATTAACCTAATTACATAACTTAATTGCATTGCACCTTTCCACAGGTAGATGTGATAGAGAAAGAATCTGCCAAGGGCAAAGTTGAGAGGTGCATTAAGCTTTAAGCCAGCAGGAACTCCCATTAGCCAGATCAGGATGGTCTGTAGAAGTCCCACAATCCTCTGTAGCATCAAAAACAATATCAGTGACCAGGGTTTCTTATACATAAGAGGCACAGTGGCGCAACGCCGTTGTTAAATTTAACATCGCCGTTGTCAAATGTTCCTGTATTTACCCATGAGATTCAAATTTTTAAAATGTTGCTGGGGGAGACCAACCATAACCCCCCTCCCCCACGTCCGCCTGCAGCGTCCGCATGCGTGCATGCCACGACTTTAAATCCATCATGCGCATTTTTCCCCAAACTGGCCATTACCTCCTTTGTCTAATTTTCCCTCAGAAGAAACCCTGGTGACCTTTAAATATTTGCAGTTACATTGAAGATGTGTGTTGTGAATAACGATGCTACTAGAAAGTGTATTCTGATTCATACAATGCTCTGTCTCTCCTGTATGGTTTCACATTCAGAACATTGATCATATGGTACACTAACGCCATCTATTGGGTAAAATCCCTGTAATGCAGCATAAACTTCAATAATTCACAACAATGTGGCTGCAGGCTACACGTGGTTGTTACAGTTCAGTAGATGATGATCCATATTGACAATCAACACATCAATGGTGACAATCAACTGCATGACAACTTGTTGATTGAGTTACGTTTTCCCTAAGAATAACAACAAAATTAAATAGGAAGTCTTACTGCAGTATATTTTCAGCTGAAGTTACGTTGACTAGGTTACACCCAGTTTTATTCACTTACAAGGGAAAGAATAAAAACACTACACACAACAGTTCCCGATATACTTACATCAGCAAAATCCAATATGTGTGTTGCAAAGGTTATGTGGTTGTAGCCATAGGAATGCAAAGTGTAAAGTAGAAGCAACCCTAGCAACACATCTAGTGCTATTGAGGTTGCTACATTCCATTTCCTATAAAATGACAAAAAAATCCATTTTTAAAAAACAGTTGGGGGTAAAAAGATAACGGGCTAAATGCCTGATTTTCCTCACATTGCATGGCTAAATCTATTATATCTAGTAATGAGGTATGCATGGGTGCTGTACCTTACAGTGCAAAGAAAGATTGAGACTGCATCCTTGCATATATATGTGAATTTCACTGCACAAGCCAGAGAACAATGGGTGAAAGTCTAGAAGTAAATTTAGGAGTACATACTGAGACGGAGTCTATGAAATTATACTATTGGAGCTTCTCTTACGATTTTTAATTTTTTGATTATTTGATTGCGAAGCAACGATTCTACGCATTTCAAAAAGTTAAATTATTTACCTGAGTATTGGCTGATCAGATGAAAGCAGCTTGATCTTATTATAACTATTTACAAGCTGCCGCCCCGTTGAAGACCAAGCAATAACCTTCGATACCCTGGACACGGCCCTGTGTGGAACAGGGGATATTGGACTATCTGGGACCACTACTTGTTTCTCTCTGAACACGGCTCTACCAATGAGATCCGTACTATCTACCCGCACCATCTTTTCCGTGACGGCCCACCGCTCTCTCAAGCAACAGTATTGCCGTAAAATCCGTGTCAATATGATCATGTCAGCGGTTTCCGATGGGGACCTTACTGCTGGTTCTGGTTGCTGCAGGACACATGACTGTAGCAACGTAGATGTCTTATAGGCTATGAGCAGAATTGGCAGCTGCGGCTGCGAGGCACACATACTTCCGACGGGACTTAAGTGAGCATGAGGAAGTTCTGACGGCTTTGCCTCGATCACCAACCAGGATGCGTCCTTTTCGCGATGATCACCGAGTCTGTGTCTCAACGCTCCCAGCAGATGTGCCGTGTTCACATGACCATCATGTTCACGATGATCACCGATGTCAGAATGCGCACTATTCCATATTCCTACAACATCCCACGCACATGCAGGCAGCGCACCGCCGATTCGGCCGGAAACACGCTGCGAAGGTTTCGGCGAATTACACCGACTCAATAGGTTTTCTAGTTCGTGTATTTTCACAGGCAAATGAATGACGGCCGTGATGAAGCATGAGGTTTGCGTCCTGCACCCAAATAATAGGCAGGAGTCAGGATTTAGCTTCAGAATATACTCTGGTATATAGACCTTCAGTCCTTCTCGAATACAATAGCCCTGCATATTGCGCTAGTGGTTGGAGCAGATGATTATTCTAGCGATAATCAGTCTACTACTTCTGAGCAATGGGAGCTGCCAGGATGATGGCGCTTCGATCGCAGGCATAGTTGCAGCAGAACCATCTATGTGCACAGCATAGTCCGTAAAATATGCACTCCGGTCCCTGAAACAGTGTATATGTACAAAAAAAAACATATATAAAAAGTGTAATAAAGACAAATGCATAGATATAATGTATTATACACATAGTATTTATAATATTTATGGACAGATGTCACACATTTCATTGGTACCCAGGGAATGAAATTCAGATTTTTTTGCACCGGCCCGGAGGGCTGGTAAAAGCAGCTTTTTACCAGCACTCGCAAATATTGTTTATTTCAAAAATAAAGATAAGACTGTTTCATTGACTCTTGCTTGTCCGCAAAATAATGTAGTCTACATCTACATGGTTACGTCGATCTGTCACTCTTGACAATTACTTCCATGCATGACTATTAGTTCTCCTCTTTAATCACGTTTATTTTATTAAAACATCACGACGTAAAAATCACGCAAACTTCGCTAGACACAAACTGCCAATCTTGCATTTGAACCGCAGCCGACACCGATTATTTCATTGGCCAGTGAGAAATGTCGTTGTGCGGTTCAATGCAAGATTGGCAGTTTTGTGTGTAGCCAAGTTTGCGTGATTTTGATGTCGTGATGTTTTTAATAAAATAAACGTGATTAAAGAGGAGAATACTGCATGACACGTGTTTTGCAAGATGTTAATAAAGTGACGGCTTTAGGTATTTCTTTGATTTTCTATGTAACACGGCCTTAAATAGTGAAAAGGTTGTCGTGCATTTTGCACGACAAAATTCACAGGTTTTGTCTATGGAAGGGTATTGGGCCCTAAAATAACATCAGAATATACAAAATTTTAGGGCACAATTTATTGGTCTAACCCTATCCCTAAAAGTACAAACACTGTCAACCAGAAGTCCAGAACCTGTCCCAAACCCTAACCCCAACCCTAACACTAACTCTAAACCGACTCGGATATCTTATATACGCGTATCATAGTACCAAATACCGTCTATGGTGTGGTGGCGATTTTACGCATTAGCGGTACGGTAAAAATACACGCGCCCCGGCCCGTGCCGTGGTTGAAGTGGTTCCTTACCCAGTCTTTACTTTAGTGGTTGCTATTATGACTGTGATATCGCGTACTAACGAGTAAATGCGCGAAATAAGACTATGTGATAGTCATTGCTAATGCTGGTTTAAAAACTGATAGCATATTTCCTTAATATTGAGAAAATGTTTGTATAAATAACAGAATGAGGTTGTGGAGGCTGCCATCTTGGATCCGA